TGCCTACCCTAGGCTTTGCATGGATTTGCTGCACAGGGAAAATCCCACCCCCACCCCACCCCTCCATTGTGAGTGTAGAGGGGACAAAAGTGGGCAAGTCATGCTGGAATGGCTGAAATAATGGTATGGGAAATAACTAGTTAGCACAGAAGCTGCACTACTGACCTGTTTTTCATATATCTGAGGAAGTCAGGATGGATCACCAGATACTGACCCAGATTAAAATCATCACTGAATTTGTCCCGAGGCCTGTGCCTACAAGAAGGAAGGGAAAGGGAAACAGACTCCAGCTTTGCATGAACTCAAACCACTCAGTGCACATACCACTTTGTACATATAGTCATCCCTTTCGTGCTGGCTGGTCAGAGGCAAAAGAAACAAGAGAAATATTAAATTATTCTGGAGCACATCCAAGTATAACATGAAGCCTTCATCATCTGGTTGTGTATCTTCTGACTGTAGGCGTTGCCTTTTCATTCTGTGTGTGCACAGGACTTAGAATAACGGAGTCTCCATCAGTCATCAGGGCCGCTTGCACCCTAGGGCTGTGCAAAATTTCACCGTCCATTTCATTCGACACTGTTTTGACTCATTTCAAAATCGAAGCAAAACAAAGGCCGTCAAAATAGCCTCGAAACAAAACGAGGCTAGTCAAAACGTTTTGACCATAGCGCTGGGGATGGGAAGTCAGTCCAGCTGGGTTGACTCTCCACCCTGGGCACTAGATTGTGCTGGGGCGGGAGTCAGCCCAGCTAGGTTGACTTCCCAACCCCTGCACTAGATCGCACTGGGAGCGGGATGTCAGCCCAGCTGGGCTGACTTCCTGTCCCCAGTGAAACGTTGAAACAGTGTTGAAACAGTGTTTCTGTTTCAAAGGAATGGAACAAAACAGCTGTTTCGAATCTACATGAAACTTGAAATGGAACGCTGTTCCGTCAAACCCTTGAAACTCAAGGTGAAAAATGGAACGGTGCCGTTTCACACAGCCCTAATGCACACACAGCACAACGAGCCTGTTCAGGTACTGGAACCCACAGAGCCACATTAGCATGGCCCTCCACCCACATTACTTAGTACTGGAGAGAAGCAGGATATAAGCCTGGGTGAAGTGTTGCCCTAACACAATTATCTTGTGGGTGGTACAGAAGCTAGGTCATGCCAGGCAGATATACCCTAGGTGCTACCACAACACCACATAAAAACAAAACCAAAACCACTTAATAGATTATTCTTATTCTCTTTTTATGTGGTGCTGTGGTAACACCTAGGTGGTCTCTGCACTTTTTGCCCAGAGCAGTCACAAAATATTTTGCATGTTACTGTTGACAGGTGATAGTGTTCACACACTCAGCACTAAAATGCAGCCACTTCCAGGATGGCACGGAGCAGCCATTCACCACAGCAGCATGCAGGGGTGCCAGAGGAGCTGACAACTGTGACTTCTCCCAGGAACAGGGAGGGGCAGAAGGTAGCCCTTCCTAGTGCCGTGATGCTGAAACAGCAGGATCTCCTCCCCTTGTGAAAAATGGCATGTGATGTGCAGTGATCACAGGGGACTTGGCTTTGGTGAAGCTGCATGCAAAGGAAAGGGGAAGCTGCAGGGAGTTCAGCTCTTACTGTACAAAGGTGGCAACAGATTGTGTTACCCGTATTGGTCCAGAAATCCCTTCCTGACGTCCCTGTTCAACAGGAGAGCCTTGAGCCACTCAAAATCCCTCTCGCCCTCCAGGAAGTGAATGTATCTGATGTCCTAGGAAACCCACAAAGGAAGTGTTAGTAGCTGGCGTCTAAAGGAGATGGGCATTAACAATTAAGAGAAAGAAGATGCCCTGCCTGCTTCACTGCGTTTCTTGGGCAGAGATCCAGAGTTTACTGTTGTTAGTTAGTCCATGGACACAGGGCAGGGCAGTGTCCAAAAGGAGAATAGTTAAGTAGCTTGCAAATAGGTACTTGCTGGTTGCAATCCTGTTTGTTTTTCTCAGGGTGTGAGGGACTGACACAAGCCTGAGCTCCGAGGCCTCAGTAGTGATACATTCATGGAAAGACAGGCAAGTGAGAGAGGGAAAAGATATACATATGCAAAAGGATTAGATCAGAGGTTCTCAACCTTTTTCATGACAGGACCTCCTCTCCCTCCAAGAGCTCACCTCACATCTCTCCAGTTCCCCCTCCCATTTAGCCACATAGGGTGTCATGACCAGCTGCCCTACCCAAGACTGCCTTCATGACCCCCAGGTTGAGAACCCCTGGAACAAGTTAGATAATGAGATTAGATTGATCTGCCAGGTAGATCCGCAGGCAGCTTCCCAACCCAGCATTGACAGCTTCCCCGGGATTTTCCCCAGGCACCCAGCCATGCCACAGAGAATGAAGAGCACCAGAATGATGTGATCTCACACCTGAACACCATCTTCTGTTTCACAAGAGCCCAAACAGCAGCTCTGAGCACAATCATGCACCTCTGGGATGATTCACAGCAGCTGTTTAGCAGCCTGTAACAACACGCACGCCACAGCACTTTAGGATAGGAAATGAAAATTATAATTGCTGATTGAAATTGCAGGCAGAACAGTTGCTATACAGAAGGTAATTTGGTCAGGACATTGGCTGTAAAGCCTAGTTCTTTCCAAAAAAATGTACCACTGAATGTTTAATGACTGCAAATCAGTCAGGGCATCAGTCTGATGACTCCTTCCAAAGACGTCCAACATCACACTGCTTCCTGCACCATGCGAGATCAGGGCTGACCCAGAGGGAAGAGGGTCTCCCAATACCATTTCTCTACAGGATGTACATGCTCCAGGACAAGTTTCTACTTAAATGGTGACTCAACCCATCTTAGCTTTAGCTAGGGACAGCTGGCAAAAATCACAGCACAAGACTGCTGCTGGCCTCAAAGTTGGAGTGATATAGGACAGAAGTGATTGCCAACAGCTGGATCCAATCATAGTTCTTACTGGATTCATGGCCTCCTCCTAAGTGAAGGGCATTACTTGACTGTATGCATTACTTCATCATAGGGTCCTGAAAAGGCCAGACAAGTCTTCCTATAATCCACTGCTAAACAATTCACAGAGTGGCATAGCTTAGGGCAGCACTAGGAAACATGGGACATGCCCCTGTCAGTCCTAGTGTCACCTCTGAATTAGTGCAGCAGCAGCATGGATGCAACTACCTGGGTATGATTTGATTCCTGATTATTGATGAGTGAGGCTAACCCAGGTCTTAAGACCCAGGTGCCCAGATCTGGAAAACTCTGCAGTGAAGACCTATCCGCTGATGCTACTGCTGACCCACACGGGTCAGGATCAGAAATTGAGACCACAGACAAAGCAGCACCTGGGTGTATGTGCTGAAGTCATGTGCCTGACTTACTTTTCCCATTGGGATCTTCTTGAAGCCCATGCTCCCCAGTGTTGAGAGAGAGACCACCAAGGAGTAGGCTGTGAATCCATAGAAAGACGTTTTTGTTCCCACGTCTTTCTCATAGCCTTTGACCATCGCCCCACTCACCCTAGCTCCGGAAAGCAAACAGAAATGCAAAGTTAGCGGGTAACTGGTTTAATCCCAGGTACTCACATGAGGTCAAGTTCACATCAGGCCTGGTAGGATAAAAAAAGAACCAGTCAAAACCTTTAGTCAAAGCTTCAGTTGAATGTGAACCATGTGAGTCCCTCTTCGGACTCATCTCTATCTTGATCTGGGAATGAATGCAGACAGACTAGGCCTCGAGGCTCAGAACCATTTCCTGCTCTTTGAGTTTGGCTTGTTTTCCCTCCTGTTTTCACTAATCATGTCTTCACTTCTGGGTCCCAGTGTGGTATTATAAGTGGCAAAGTAGCACAGCTGTAGTTGTTTGCTCTAGCTAGAATTAAGAAGTTCTAGGGAGAGCACAAGAAAGCCTGTCCTTGCAAAATTTCCAGCCTGGATCCTCAATGACAAAGATTTGTTTAAACTGACTGATATATTATTTAGCTTTGGGCTTTGCAGGGCATTAGCAATGATCAGAAAACATATTTAAAGATGCTTCAGGGGTGTTCGTGGGGATGATCTCTGTGGAGGTATTACTGGAATGTTGGTAGCAAGGACTGAGAAACAAATATGTCGGATCAACCGAGATCTCTAGAAGAAAGTACAAGATGGAGAAAAAAAAATAAGCAGCTTCTCTTACCGGAACACATAATCGTGGGAGTCGATCTCCTTGCCCATTCCAGAATTGTTTAATATTCCCCCATTCCCCACCACAGCACAGCTGATGCACCTTGGTATCTGGCTGCTGTTGTTGGCTAGGAGGATCTGCTGGGAAGGGTTGGGTGGCAGGAGTGTTAAGACCTCCTTCACCACTGCAACACAAACACAGAGTCAATAGAGGATTAGTGCATTTGCTGAGAGCTTTTGGGCTGGGAATAGAGTGCAGGGGAATTGTTATATGAAAGCTAACTTGTGGTCCATCTAGTCTGTTATTCCACCTCCGAGAGTGGACATACCTGATGAGTTAGAAGAAACCCTTCTCCTACCTTGGAATACACTTCGAAATTTTGGATCTCTCAGAAGAAACCCTCTTACCACCTTGAAATACACTCTGTCACCCTTGTGTCCCCTTCACACTGTAGGAGGGTATTGGTTTTGTAATGTGCTTCATGGTTGTACGGTGGGAGGGACTGGAGTGGATGACTGTTAGGAATTTGGGAGTGTATGGTTGCCCATGAATTAAGGGAACTGGACTCTGTGACCTAAGAGGCCCCTTCCAGTCCTGTATTCCTACATATCATGAAGGGAAATGTCTAACTGCCCTTCCCTGTTCTTGACTTCTGACTGAAGTTATGAGTGTTGACAGCCCATGCTATGGTTACTTGAGTTAGCATGCCTATAGATGATTTTCTCTTTGGTATGAGTCAGGGGTCAAACTTTTAGCAACAGAGGGCCAAATTAACGCAGCTTGGTCCCAGGCCAGCCACTACCTCTACTGTTTTCCTCCCACTGCTGATTCCCATTGTCACCAATCCCCCTTGCCACCACTGTCCCACCTTCACGGACTGGATAAAAATCTCTCTGCCAGCTATTCCCTATTTGACTCCTGGTATAAGTAACCCTGCATTCTTGGAAACTTCCAGAGCTATTTGCCTCCAAAATCTCTCAGTTAATATAAGCACCAAAAGGGCTTTGCAATAGAAAGAGAACACCATGTCCCCAATTCACCATTGAGTTGCTTCTTCTTTGAAACTCCCTTGACTTCACTGGTGTGGTAATGAAGTAACAAAGATTGAATCAGGTCCCATGACTCAGGAACAACACAAAATTGGAGGTTGATGTAGTGCTCAAGGCACTGACAGAGGTGAAAGATGCCCCAACCCTGGAGAAACCATTGTTGCCCATTACAGATGTGTCCTTGCTTGAGAGCCCAATCCTTCCAGCTCTAGGGGGAGAAGGGGGAGCAGTGAGCTCAAGGGGGCACATCTGTCATTCCCAGCTCCCTCCAACAACCTCCAACAGGACTCACATGAGTAATTTAGCTCCATAAAACCAAATGGAGGTGCAAAATGCTCCAGGCGCTCCCATTCACTGTCACTGAAGTGTACCCTGTCAATGAAGAGTGTGATGTTGGGCAGGAAAAGGTTCTTCAACCAGTCAGACTTGGCAGCTTGGGCCTTCACTGAAGTGGGGCAGCTCTGGTAGAACAAAAAGAGGGTTGTATTGACATGAAGTGTTGGACAAGGCAGGCACCACTGCATGCACCCAGCACCTTCTTGTTTCACCGTAACCCCTCTTGCCTATGTTTCCTCAGGATCCCTCCCTGAAATAAATCCAGATGCCTCTTGATGCCAGTTATACCCCATTTAACCTTGACCCAGACTTTACTGGAGTGTGGTTCCTTCCCGCCTGCATGTACACATGCACAGTTTCTTCATAGATTTGAGATGCTAGGGTTGGAAGGGACCTCAACAGATCATCGAGTCCAACACCCTGCCCAGGGCAGGGAAGAGTGCTGGGGTCAGATGACCCCCGCAACCAGATGCCTATCCAGCCTTCTCTTAAAGACCCCCAAGGTAGGGGAGAGCATCACCTCCCTTGCAAGCCCATTCCAAATTTTAGCCACCCTTACCGTGAAGTTTTTCCTGATATCTAGCCTAAAACATGTTTGACACTGTTGGTTACTGAATGTGAGGGCATGATGCAAACTATGGCAAGACACTGTTTGACTAAACATTTAAAAACAGCTTCTCATTCATTCAGTAGAAATGGGGGAAATATGTAAAAATTACACCCTGATTTGTAAATATTTTAGCATATAAATGGAGATCTGTAGCAAGGTATTAGTCATTCCTAAATACTCAGATAAACAGCCTGTACCTATGAAAAGGCTTGTGACCCACAGGAATTAAATGCATTTTAGTGAACATATTATTCATTATTTGCTACTTGTTATTTTAATGTGTAAGATAATTCAGACAGAGAGAAGAAACAATACTATGCAACTCAGATGAGTCCATATACAACGTTAATAAAGAATAACCAGTGCATGAGCTGATGATAGCCCATAGGGCATAGGCTACAAATGAATGGTTCACATTTTCAATGAGCGCTCATAAAAATATTGAATCTATTTGAATAACACCCAGCCTGTAAATATTTACCTAACTAACAAGGAAGCTAAATGGCCATTGACTGTTATTCAAATCAAACATTATTCAGCCATAACAGTGTAATGAGTGTTATCAGGGTAAGGTTCTCCATCTGTTTTTTGTGACTCACATCTGATCATTCCTGAGGAAAACTATGGAAGACCATATCTAGTAGATAGAATTATTTACTATAAAATCAATCAGGCTTGCAAGATGGCTCCACCTCAAAGAAGATAAATATTTGCATAGCAAATAGGAATTTAATAAAGGATATAAACTGTAGTACAGAAGATTGCTATATCAACAACACATACCAGGACAGCTAATGTGAATGAGTTCACTGGCAAACTCTATGGAGTTGAAGGTTATCATCTATTTAAATGTGATATCTTGCTTTCTACGTGCAGTTCTTTTCTACTTCTATGCACTCTCCCTCTGCTGAGTCCAGGACTCATTCTCAGAGTTGCTGCAGACTGTTATCCAGGACATGCACGCACAGTGCTCTCTGAAGAGCACTCTGCTTTTGTTGTCTTCCTTAATCTAAAATCAAGGTTACTGCCTGAACCATTCTGCCTGAAAGTACATGGTTGCTCTTTGTATTTGGAAATATACCAAGGAGATTCACCTAAAAGAAATGCTGACATCGGGCCAAACATAGAAATGGTAACAGGGGAGACAAGCGTCAGTCTTGTAAGATGGGTATGAGTTAAGTTTTCAAGTGCTGAAAGCAGGCAGTGTAATTTCAGAGGGACCTTGTGTGAATGTGGCAATGAATCAGCTGGGAGCAGGGGTTTAAACTCTGACTTGCACAGGTCTTGAACCAAGGCCCAGTGAAATCTTTTGCTGGTTTCAAATCACTTTGGGTCAGACCCACACTCAGGGATTCCAGCAAAATATAAATATGAGCCCCTCTGCCAGTGCTAACACGAACATGCCTGTAAATGCAAACATAATCCGAAAATGAATTACAGTTGCCATACATCTCAGAGTAATGATCTTAATTGTAACTTTTGACTTAACGCCTCCAATGTACATGCAGAGAAACTGCCTGCTGCTAGCTGTCATAACACTATAACACGGCTCTGTGAGAGTGCTGTGAAAAAGTGTCACATCTGTACAGATCTTTAAAGAGTATTGTGCTGAGTGGTGGGTGGCAAATTCTCCACATACACATGCTCCCAGGCTGTGAATTGGCAGCTGCAATTAGTGGCAGGTGTGAGTTGTCAGACTAACACCATATGAGGCCAAGCCAGTGGCATTTGCTCTTGCCATTAGGAAAGGACTTTGTAGTCCTGTGATGGAGCGGCTGATCAGACTTACTGAACATGTTTGCTGGAGGCTGCTTCAAATGAAGGCTCTGCGGCCTTATGCCCCCTGGAACTGCATTACTGGAACCCTTTCCTGGCACCGTTGAAAGCCTTTGTGCATCAGATCCCAATGTGCTGCTCTGTTTGTGCCCAGTCACATTTCCTCTCCTTGAAGCCACACCTCCTCACCTCTTACCCTCCTGGTACAAGTCCATTTATACCTGCTCTCGCTGTTCTCCCTGGATTATCTACCCTCCGCCGAACCCCAACAGCCCCAGGCACCATCTTGCTGCATCCTGGCAGTTCTGAATTTAGCCCAGATTAAACATCACAGAGAAAAGTGCACCTCCAATCTGCACCCACACCTGTCTTGGTGGACAATGAGCAGGAACTGAGTTCAACAATGGCCACGCAAGCCTGTAGCTTTGGTGTCATCCTGCGGCTGGGCTGGCCCAGAGAGCAAACTAAGCATGTGACTGCTTGTGCCCCAGGCTTATGGGAACTCAGGGTGGAAACAGGCATCACCATTGTGCTGCCATAGAAATGTTTATGTTGGCACATAGTGAAGGCAAACAGATGTCCACATCTTCCGTTACACCACAAGTGCTCAAATTTGTAACCGCTGCAGACAGTGGTATTAAACTGGGCTGCTTTGTTTCAGCTCCTGTCTCTTTGTTTACTGTAGAAGAGCTCAGGCAGTGTGAAGCACCAGGTCTCCAGCCTTCCTCTGCGCCGGGCAGGGCCTCCATGGGTTTGAGGGGTGGGACTGGTCCTCTCAAGCCTTGGGAACACCTGCCTCACCTTCCCACTTACCCAGCCGCAGCCCTCCAGGGGCTTCAGGGCTCTGGGCTGTGTGTCTGCAAGTGGGGGTTCCTGCACAGGAGGGAAGGTGGAGGAGGTGCAAGTCCCCCTGCACTCGCTAAGGGATTTTCTCCTATGTGCCTGCAAATGTGGAGGTGAGGACCAGAGTTTTCCCCTGCTTGCAGATGCACCACAAGTCAGGGCATGTCTATAGAGCACAATCAGCTGGGCTGTAACATATCTCGGCACAGGTGACCACACTCCATAGACTCAGAGGCCGTCTCTCCTTCTATGATGAGGCTTTGTATTGAAGCATCTCAGGGCACCTATGCATGTGCTCCAACACGCTCTAATTAGAACACATTAGAACAGACTCGATTAATTGAGTCTGCTGGAGTGTTCTGATTAGAACGCTCCAGCACATGGGCGCTGTCTTGGTTTTTTGCTGGTGGGTGCTTGCAGACATAAAAGAAAACCCAAAAGAAATGGCACTTTACTTTTAACTCAGAGCATTCCTATGCCAAGCCCCCATGCATGCCCAGAAGAGGCAGCGCATTACTTCTATCCAGCTCTGCAGCATCTGAAAAGATCAGGTGCTTTGGGGTGGGGGGGGGTGGCATTTTTATCTAATAGCTGATTGAATCAGCTTTAGCTAAAAGCACCAAAAAGCGCCGCTGAAGCACCCAATCTTTACAGACACTGCAGAGCCGGGTTGAAGTAATGCACCACGTCTGGTAAAGCACTTTTTTTGTTTTTTTAACATCTCCACAAGTAGTTCCGTGGGTGCTGAGGACCTGCAATATTTTTTTGGTGGGTGCTTGAGCCCCGGAGCACCAATGGAGTTGGCACCTATGCTCCAGTGTCTTGTGTATTCAGTGTCCCACGTTTCAAAACGGTGGCAGGGCACTTTAACTAAAGTTCATCGAATGAACTTGAGTTAAAGCACCCCGCTCCCATTTTGAAACATGGAATGCTGAATACACAAGACACTGAGGTGCTATAATTAAAGTGGCTCCCAAGAGCTGCTCTAATTAAAATGCCCTCCCCCTCCCAACCTAGAGCACGTGTATAGGCACCCTCAGAGCCGCACTTATGAGCCAGGACACCATTGTGCTAAGTGCTGTACATACACAGAACCAAAAAATGATTCCTCCATCCTAAAGATCTTACAATCTCCCTCTCTAAGTGTGGTATTAGAAAGGGAAGATGTGACATCCTATCTCGAACACTGGGACTCACCTCCACCTGGAGACAGGCAATGTCCACCTTGATCCCCCTTTTGCAGTAAATTGAGTCCTTGCTCTTATTTGGCTTTCATGCGCCTGCACTTTAGCAGACCAAGGCAGGCCCATCTGCCTGTGAGGCTGCACTGTAGTCAGTTCAGTGGAGCCAACAATGACTGGTGGTAGGAAACTACCAAAACACATGGCTGCAGGGAATCAGCTTTAACCACCGAAGTCTGCATGCAGCTCCAAATCTCTAAAGCTTGAAAGCTTAGTCAAAGCTCATTGCAGCACAAAAGAGTGTGCATTTCAGACACTATGGCATTGATTGAAAGGATTAACTCAACTGTGCAAAATGCTTTCCAAGAGTGCCTGGAAAATGGGGCCTTAATGCCGAAACCCCTCTTGGAATTGTACTCAAAGGCACCTTTCAAATAACCAGTCAAATCATTACAGCGCATTCTTGACTGTGAATGGTACAAACATATGGCCAGGCTTTAAAAAGCTCTTGAGGAAGCACAGACATACCAGGCAGGCTTCAGAGCTACCCTGAGGTAGATCAATAAACCACAGTGTGCGCGTGTATAATCCAGTGGTCCGTGTTTATTATACATCTCTCCATGTGCCCCATTCACCAGACAGAAACTGGACTGGGAGGCTGCCCAGACAGTTCTGTGTGTCTTGAATTTTTCATCCTCAGGATAATAGGCATGCA